AGAAATTGCCTGATGACGACGAGGCTGCCAAGTGCGATCAACCTCCTCATCATCAAGTAGGGTCTCCGCCTCACTACTAGCCCCCTCGGCTGCGTCTGGGTCAGGAGACAGACCTGTCTCTAGACCGGCTACCGGGCCACTCTCCTCGCCACTACTTCTTCGCCTAGCTGCTGAAAAGGCGATGTCTCCCCCGTTCCTGACCGCCCTCTGTTAGCTCTTCCTCACTGTACAGTGGGGCTGAGCCCACAGCATGCGATACTTCGCTTGGTGAGGGAACACCAAAGGACAGGGGCAGGTAGAGGACACGTGATTTCAGTGGGCTAGGTCCCGGGCCATGCCAACTAACGGTTGTGTCTGACGTACCCACCGACCGTTGGCTGTAGGTGTCAGAGGTGACCTGGGAAGAGGAAGACGACCGAGCCAACCAATCGATGACGGCAGGGTTGTCGGTGGAGACACGACCGCTGGATGACACCGGGAGCACTGGCCTCTGGCTGCGAATAGTGCTGCCTCGACCCCTTCCTCTGCTGCCACGTCTGCTCGCTCCTAAAACATTGCCTCCTCTGCCACTCCTCTGCATGTTGTCTGACATACTCTTTAATTAAACGATTATGTGTCCCTGAGTAACAATTCTGTGTCCCTGAGTAACAATTCTGTGTCTGTGCGAGTAACAATTCTGTGGTGCCCTAAGTAACAGTTCTGTGGCCCTCAGTAACAATTCTGTGTCTGTCCCCTGAGTAACAATTCTGTGGCCCTAACTAAAGTTTCTGTGGCCCTAAGTAACAATTCTCTGGCACTCAGTAACAATTCTGTCTGTCCCTGAGTAACAATTCTGTGGCCCTAATAACGTTTCTGTGGCCCTAAGTAACAATTATCTGGCACTCAGTAACAATTCTGTCTGTCCCTGAGTAACAATTCTCTGGCACTCAGTAACAATTCTGTCTGTCCCTGAGTAAAAATTCTGTGGCCCTAAGTAAAGTTTCTGTGGCCCTGAGTAACAATTCTCTGGCACTCCGTAACAATTCTGTCTGTCCCTGAGTAACAATTCTCTGGCACTCAGTAACAATTCTGTCTGTCCCTGAGTAAAAATTCTGTGGCCCTAAGTAAAGTTTCTGTGGCCCTGAGTAACAATTCTCTGGCACTCCGTAACAATTCTGTCTGTCCCTGAGTAACAATTCTCTGGCACTCAGTAACAATTCTGTCTGTCCCTGAGTAAAAATTCTGTGGCCCTAAGTAAAGTTTCTGTGGCCCTGAGTAACAATTCTCTGGCACTCCGTAACAATTCTGTCTGTCCCTGAGTAACAATTCTCTGGCACTCAGTAACAATTCTGTCTGTCCCTGAGTAAAAATTCTGTGGCCCTAATTAAAGTTTCTGTGGCCCTAAGTAACAATTCTCTGGCACTCAGTAACAATTCTGTCTGTCCCTGAGTAACAATTCTCTGGCACTCCGTAACAATTCTGTCTGTCCCTGAGTAACAATTCTCTGGCACTCAGTAACAATTCTGTCTGTCCCTGAGTAAAAATTCTGTGGCCCTAAGTAAAGTTTCTGTGGCCCTGAGTAACAATTCTCTGGCACTCCGTAACAATTCTGTCTGTCCCTGAGTAACAATTCTGTGGCCCTAACTAGCGTTTCTTTGTCCCTAAGTAACAGTTCTGTGGCCCTGAGTAACAATTCTGTGTCTGTGCGAGTAACAATTCTGTGGCCCTAAGTAACAGTTCTGTGGCCCTCAGTAACAGTTCTGTGTCTGTGCCCTGAGTAACAATTCTGTGTCTGTGCGAGTAACACATTCTGTGGCCCTAAGTAAAGTTTCTGTGGCCCTCAGTAACAGTTCTGTGTCTGTGCAATTCTGAGTAACAATTCTGTGGCCCTAAGTAAAGTTTCTGTGGCCCTAAGTAACAATTCTCTGGCACTCAGTAACAATTCTGTCTGTCCCTGAGTAACAATTCTCTGGCACTCAGTAACAATTCTGTCTGTCCCTGAGTAAAAATTCTGTGGCCCTAAGTAAAGTTTCTGTGGCCCTGAGTAACAATTCTCTGGCACTCCGTAACAATTCTGTCTGTCCCTGAGTAACAATTCTCTGGCACTCAGTAACAATTCTGTCTGTCCCTGAGTAAAAATTCTGTGGCCCTAAGTAAAGTTTCTGTGGCCAAGAGAGTAACAATTCTCTGGCACTCCGTAACAATTCTGTCTGTCCCTGAGTAACAAATTCTGTGGCCCTAACTAGCGTTTCTTTGTCCCTAAGTAACAGTTCTGTGTGGCCCTGAGTAACAATTCTGTGTCTGTGCGAGTAAGTAACAATTCTGTGGCCCTAAGTAACAGTTCTGTGGCCCTCAGTAACAGTTCTGTGTCTGTGCGAGTAACAATTCTGTGTCTGTGCGAGTAACAATTCTGTGGCCCTAAGTAACAGTTCTGTGGCCCTCAGTAACAATTCTGTGTCTGTGCGAGTAACAATTCTGTGTCTGTGCGAGTAACAATTCTGTGGCCCTAAGTAAAGTTTCTGTGGCCCTAAGTAACAATTCTCTGGCACTCAGTAACAATTCTGTCTGTCCCTGAGTAACAATTCTCTGGCACTCAGTAACAATTCTGTCTGTCCCTGAGTAAAAATTCTGTGGCCCTAAGTAAAGTTTCTGTGGCCCTGAGTAACAATTCTCTGGCACTCAGTAACAATTCTGTCTGTCCCTGAGTAACAATTCTCTGGCACTCAGTAACAATTCTGTCTGTCCCTGAGTAAAAATTCTGTGGCCCTAAGTAAAGTTTCTGTGGCCCTGAGTAACAATTCTCTGGCACTCCGTAACAATTCTGTCTGTCCCTGAGTATGAATTCTGTGGCCCTAACTAGCGTTTCTTTGTCCCTAAGTAACAGTTCTGTGGCCCTGAGTAACAATTCTGTGTCTGTGCGAGTAACAATTCTGTGGCCCTAAGTAACAGTTCTGTGGCCCTCAGTAACAGTTCTGTGTCTGTGCGAGTAACAATTCTGTGTCTGTGCGAGTAACAATTCTGTGGCCCTAAGTAAAGTTTCTGTGGCCCTCAGTAACAGTTCTGTGTCTGTGCGAGTAACAATTCTGTGTCTGTGCGAGTAACAATTCTGTGGCCCTAAGTAAAGTTTCTGTGGCCCTAAGTAACAATTCTCTGGCACTCAGTAACAATTCTGTCTGTCCCTGAGTAACAATTCTCTGGCACTCAGTAACAATTCTGTCTGTCCCTGAGTAAAAATTCTGTGGCCCTAAGTAAAGTTTCTGTGGCCCTGAGTAACAATTCTCTGGCACTCCGTAACAATTCTGTCTGTCCCTGAGTAACAATTCTCTGGCACTCAGTAACAATTCTGTCTGTCCCTGAGTAAAAATTCTGTGGCCCTAAGTAAAGTTTCTGTGGCCCAGAGTAACAATTCTCTGGCACTCCGTAACAATTCTGTCTGTCCCTGAGTATGAATTCTGTGGCCCTAACTAGCGTTTCTTTGTCCCTAAGTAACAGTTCTGTGGCCCTGAGTAACAATTCTGTGTCTGTGCGAGTAACAATTCTGTGGCCCTAAGTAACAGTTCTGTGGCCCTCAGTAACAGTTCTGTGTCTGTGCGAGTAACAATTCTGTGTCTGTGCGAGTAACAATTCTGTGGCCCTAAGTAACAGTTCTGTGGCCTTCAGTAACAATTCTGTGTCTGTGCGAGTAACAATTCTGTGTCTGTGCGAGTAACAATTCTGTGGCCCTAAGTAAAGTTTCTGTGGCCCTAAGTAACAATTCTCTGGCACTCAGTAACAATTCTGTCTGTCCCTGAGTAACAATTCTCTGGCACTCAGTAACAATTCTGTCTGTCCCTGAGTAAAAATTCTGTGGCCCTAAGTAAAGTTTCTGGGGCCCTGAGTAACAATTATCTGGCACTCAGTAACAATTCTGTCTGTCCCTGAGTAACAATTCTCTGGCACTCAGTAACAATTCTGTCTGTCCCTGAGTAAAAATTCTGTGGCCCTAAGTAAAGTTTCTGTGGCCCTAAGTAACAATTCTCTGGCAATCAGTAACAATTCTGTCTGTCCCTGAGTAACAATTCTCTGGCACTCAGTAACAATTCTGTCTGTCCCTGAGTAAAAATTCTGTGGCCCTAATTAAAGTTTCTGTGGCCCTAAGTAACAATTCTCTGGCACTCAGTAACAATTCTGTCTGTCCCTGAGTAACAATTCTCTGGCACTCAGTAACAATTCTGTCTGTCCCTGAGTAAAAATTCTGTGGCCCTAATAACGTTTCTGTGGCCCTAAGTAACAATTCTCTGGCACTGAGTAACAATTCTGTCTGTCCCTGATTATGAATTCTGTGGCCCTAACTAGCGTTTCTTTGTCCCTAAATAACGATTCTGTGGCCCTCATTAACAAGTCTGTGTCCCTGAGTAATGGTTCTCTGTCCCTAAGTAACTTTTCTCTGTCCCCAATTATCGTTTCTGTGGCCCTAACTCTGTCCCTGTCCCTAGTACAGAGCGGTCTGCCTCTGTTCAATGACTGCAGGCAAATGAAGAATTCCAAAATGGCCGCTATTTATAGCTCGACCATTACACAGTGCTGGCTGGCTGGCTGCTGATTGGCTGATGCGATCACATGTAGTTGAGGAATGCATTATGGGTCAGCGCGCCTTGTCCGCGCCTTCCCAGACATCCCCGCTCCGTCGCCGCACATGTCAGCCGCCATTTTCTGAAAAATTTCGATTCGCGCGTCCGAATTAGGCTATTTTTCGGATTCGGCACGAATCGAAATTTTTCCGATATTCGACTCGAATTCCACTTCGGATACTTCGATTCGCTCATCTCTAGTTACAATCAAACAACGCCTAAGCACTTGGGGTTTTAGGGCAACAATAGGTGCTTTATGTATATGTATATATATATATATATTTCCCCCTTTATTATGTATAAACAAAATAATGTATGTTTATATACAATTGTGATTTATTTTTATTATCTGGTGCCTTAAAAACCCAAGTGCTTAGGTGCTGTGTGGTTTCTTCACAAATGTAAACTTACCACAGCTGTAGCCATCTCAAGTCCCATGGATCCCCAGCTGAGCAACAACACAAAGAAGCTCACCACAGTCATTCTGGAAAAACAAAAATACAGAAATGTAACAATACAGCTTTAATCCCATAGTGTAAAAAATAAATACAGTCACAATTCTGTGCTATCTGCTTTCTAAGTGTAATAAAAGCTAAATCAGTAATTAAAGCCCAACTCCAGCCTCTGTAAAGTCATTAATGTTAACTTTGTCCCATTTGAGAAGATTATCCCCTTACTTCCTGTTCAGTCTGAGCTCATTACCTAGACAGGAAGTGAGCAAAAGTCTCTGATAACAGAGACAGGAAAAAAAACTGTTAGAGGTTCTACCCCTTTTCCAACTAGAAAAAGAGGATTTTTGCTTAAAATAGAAGTATGGGTTAACAAAAATCAATTATACTCACCTAAGAGGATGCAGCATTGGTCTAATGCTGCTTCTGTCTCCCACTGGATCTAAGACTGAGAACTGAGCGATCAAAGACTAATGATTGATCAGTTCTCAGTGTACCGTGAACAGAGAGCTAATGGCTATCAGTCACCGGCTTTATGCTCTGTTCCTCCATCACTCACTGAGAGACTGAGCCAGGTGCCAAGCCAGGCTACTGGGTGGATCATGACCAAATGGTTGGGATACTTTCAGAGGCTGTACCAGCTCTATGACGTCAGCTGACAGCAGGCTTTGGGTTACAGGAATGCAGAACGAAATGCACTCCTGTGATCCCCAGGAGAATTATAGCCAAAAGAGCTTTGGCTATACTTCTCCTTTGGCTATACTTCTTTTCTTACTTGTATATTCCATATCTTGGAATATAGTTCAGGACACAGGCTGAGTATTGATAGTCCCTGGGTTATAGGTTCATACCTTTAGGTGATTGTACACAGGCAAAGCTTTTGAGGACATGCCCCCTGAGTAATTTCCTCATAACCCTCCACACTCCATGAATCCTTGGCTTTTGTGGCAAGCAATGCACCAAGAGTGACCAAGGAATAAAGGTGAGGATGCCCTGTGTCCCGTACTGTGCTCCAATAGAAGGAATTTACAAGTAAGTCAAAATTCCTCTTATTTTAATTGTACAATATGGGACACAGGCTGAGTATTCATAGACTCTGGGATATCCCCAAGCAATGAATGAGAAGAATGAATGAATGAGTGGGCTGCAACTATGCAAACAGAACTGTGCCAACAGGCTCAACAACAACCATGGGTCAAAAGACCCATCAACAAGAGTGCCACAGCAAGAACCTTGTGGTTGAAAGCTGCATCTGCAGAAGATTGGATTTTCACCTGGTAAACAGATTTGAACAAAAGATCAGGTGGTGACCTTACAGAGCTGAGCTATAGTGTCAAAAAGCTGAGGAAACACCCACCAATCTGATGAAGTGGGAGTGTAAAAGCACAGGAGTTTTGTCCTTTAGAGCGTAAGCTCTAGCGGTCCAGCAAGCAATGGTTGATTTGGAAACGGTGTCCCTTGCAAGATCTTCATGAAAGAAGCTCTTGTTTTGAGATAGACTGTAATGGCTCTGGCTACATCCAGGCAACGAAGAGCAATTTCTTTGGTACTTTGGAGCAGGGCACATAAATGAAAAACCTACATCTTCATTGATGTGGAAGTCTGATACCACCTTGGGAAGGAAGGATGGCTTTGGAAGCAGAACTACCTTGTCATTATGAAGAATAGGAAATGGCTCCTCTTAAGAGAGAGGCACAAACTTTGAGACACAACTGACAGATGTGATCTCATCCAACAAGGCCACCAGTATTATCCTTGATAGTTTCAAAGGGTGGTTTCTTCAGGACAAAGAGAACCAAGCTGAATTCCCAAGGAAATACAGAGTGCTGTATGGGAGACCTGACACCTTTTGACTAGGGATGGTAAAGCTAGCATGTTATGAAAGAGAATGGACAAGGCCAAAATCTGTCCTTTCAGGTTGCTTAAGGCTAAGTTCTGGCCAAGTCCAGATTTGAGAAAGGCCAGAATGTGAGGCATCAACAATTCTCTGGAATTGAAGCATCTGCGTCCACACTAGCAAAGAGGGATTTCCAGACATGATATTAGTTGTTTCTGGAAGTGACATTTCCTGCTTTTTGCAAGGTAGGGATGACAGATTCAGAGACCAGTGTATTTAGATGAGCCCAGGGGTGTATATGTGTATGCATGATACTCTTGTGTAACTCTAATTTTTACCCATTGATAATTTAATATACCCAATATGGGCTGAGCTTCCGCAAGACCTATATACACATTCTTAATTGACATTGTTTTTAAATTGATGTCGTGTGTGTGGTTGTGGTTGCTGAACACTGTGTGTTACTTTTTGTTGCTACTGCAAATGATTTTGCTTAAACTGAATAAATATAGTTTTTATTCATCATAATCTGATACAAGTCTCGTTTGCTGTCCAATTAACTACTTGTCTGACTGAGAAGCAGGATGAAACAGAGCTCGCTGGGACAGCAGGTCTAGCATGATAGGATGAGGTCAGGAATCATCTCCTGGAAGTCTGGGTATGTCTATGTACCTAGTACTACTGGTTTATTTTGGTACAATGAGAATAAGTGGCGTCTTCTCTTGCTCTATTTTGTGGAGCAGACGAGGTAGAATATACACTGGAAGGAAGGCATAGATTAACCTGAACTGAGACCAGTGGAATATCAAAACATCCAGTGTCAGTACTAGAGGATTTGTGGACCTGGCTACAAATAGAGGTAGTTTGTTGTTAATTCTGGGGCCCATGATATCCCTATCCAAGGTCCAAAATGTTTAATATAACCAGTTGAAGACGTTGGGGTAAAGGGCCCATTCTCCTTGATCCAGGAGGTGACTGCTGAGGTAATCTGCTTTCCAGTTGTCCATTCCTGGGATGTGGACTGCAGAGATCACTGGACAGTGAGTTTCTGTCCATAAGATGATCTGGCTTGCTTCCTTTAAGGCTTGCTAACTCTTGGTGCCCCCTTGGTGGTATATGTAGGCCATGGTGATGACATTGTCTGTTTGCACTCTGATAGCGTGTACCTTTAGAATGGGGGGGGGGGGGGGGGTCCAGTGTTGCACAGCAATTTTGTTTGCTCTAAGCTCCAAGATGTTGATAGGGAGCTTGGCTGTAACTGATGACCATGTTCCCTGAATTGTGAGGGACTGCAACAATCTTCCCCAGCCTGAAAGACTGCCATCTGTTGTTATCATTTTCCAGTGGTAAGGAAGGAAGCACTTCCCTATTGTTAAGGCTAGCTTGGAGATCCAGCAAGCTAGAGGGTCCCTTGCTTAAATAGGAGCACAAATAAGTTAAAAGAAAGATCATGAACAGTGTGCTGTGAGCACAAGACCCACTTTGCCTTGGATCACTGTCATTTGTTGCTATGCTGCAGGTGAGCTAGCCACCAGAACCATAACAATTAATGACGCTCTAGGGCCAGGGCTATGCTGTTGTTGCTACGGTGAGTGAAGTTGGCTGGCTCGCACCATGGCAAGACATGACTGACCCAGGGCAGGTGACATTCAGGGCCATTCCCAGCATTCAGGAGAAGACAAATGTCCACCTCACAATGCTCCGTCATCTGCTGTGCTGCTGCTGGAATAAAAAAAGCAGGTCTTTGATGTGAAGAGAGAACTGTGTTATTGGTGGCTCTATGGTAATGGGGAGACTGACATTTATAGGAGCCTCTGATGTATAATAGCGGCTCTGATGTGTTGGGTTACATCTGACATGATCAGGAGCTTCTGATGCAATTGGGGGAACTTCTGTTCTGCAGGGGCTTCTGATATGAAGTTCATTTTATCAAGGCGATTGTGCACATTCCCTCAGGCTCAGGTTTCTCACTGATTAGTAATGTTTAGATTGTTTACATTTAAAACTGTGGTGCCTTGAAATCTTGCATACCTCTAAAGAGTGCCACTGCTTTAATGATAGCAATATAAATATGATAACCTTATGGGCCAAGGGCTAATTTTGAACTTTCCCAAAATATTGTACAGTCAAAGATTTGAATTTCAATGTCTTATGTCAGAGCCAAGAGTCTAATAACAAATAAATATGCAGCACACTATGTAATCATTTTTACTTGACTGCATTGTAAGACCTTTTGCACATGGTTGTAAGGAACAGAGTTAGAGCATACAGTTTAAAATACGTCTGTTGTTAAGGAACCAGAGTTGCAGCATATTTTAGGTCATAGGAATGCATTACTTAAAACTCCTTGTACAGTGTCAGAAGTTACAATTGTACAGTGTCAGAAGTTACAATTGCACAGTGTTTTCGGTAATGAACTCCTGTGGGCAAAATTATGCTGCAGCTGAGGTTTCTGGGTGCCACAACAACAGCTGAACTTTACACTGTATGCCCATACACTGTTGTTTACAGCTGGGTACAAGAGGTTCTAGAAGAAGAGATAAGGCAGTTCTTATCAAGAAATATAAATTACATTGTATTTATGTGTGCAGTTTTACTAAATGGCAAAGGAGGAAGGGAAGATGAGGCAGTGTAATATGCCAGAGACAAGAGCCAGAAATATTGCACTGACATACTGCACATTATGTAAGCAGTCTCACTAAGCCACAATGTTAAATGTGATGTCAGATGTCAGGGAAACTTTTATGAAGTTACAATAAAATTAATTTTATGCGTGAACATTCTTTTACTCCTAAATATTAAATCAGAACTAAAGGCAAAACTTTGTTTTCATTTTGGATAGAGTAAGGGAAGGGTTTAACCCCTGTTGGGTTTTTTTGCCATCTGTGTCCCATAGAGGAGATCTCCCTTCACTTCTTGTCCCATAGCCAAAACAGGAAGTGAGAGGAAATCCCTCCAAAGTGAGGGAATCCCAGGGTATCGCCAAGGTCACCAAAATTAGTGTTCCCATTAAAAGATTTCCCCTCTACTACTGTTCTGGTGTCAACCCAAAATGTGGGATTTTCTTTTACTTTCACATTCAATAAATGGTAATGGTAAACAGGAGTATTAGGGTAAATCTCCCTACTGGGGATACAGTCCGCAATAAAAACCTGACAAGAGTTCTAATCCCTCTCCATTTTATCCAAAACTAAGAAA